TGCTGGCAGGCAGCAAGCCTTGCTATTACTAAACTCAATACCACATGTGTTTTCATGGTTCAGACCAGCACCAGTATGCAGTACTTTGTATTTTGAACCTCCACAATCCCATATCACAGCGCCAAGTGCTGTGAAACATCTGATAAACCTTCCCAAATCTAACAAAGTGTGATGGCAAGCACTGTGGTTTTCTTGAAGAGCTTTCTTCTTCTGTGTGCCTTTGAGTATACCTCTTTCAGGTTCACCAAGACTGCCCTCCAGCAGCCAGAGTCCAAGAAAAGCAAGCTGTAATTTACCACCTGCAGAGCATGGCGATGAAACTAAACATAGCTGGCACTATGACTCATGAGCCATCAGCAGCAGATGGACAGGGAAGACATCAGAAGGCTGCATTCAGACCTTTTGAAGGAGAAATATTGCTGTGAACTCGTAGCTCCCATTCATCAGGAGTGCCTAATAAAGGCCAGCAGCTGACGCAGTAATGACAGTTTAGGGAATGTAGAGTTTCCTTCAAGTTGTTTTTAGCTGCAGAGTACAAGAAGTCTCAGAAGCAATGCAATGGTAGACAACCGCCTTGCTCCCTTTGGAGAATGAGTGATCCACTGAAAACCCATTTCTGCAGCTGAAAGAGAAGGTTCTAAAGACTTAGGAAGAAAAGGTTAGGGACAAATGAACAGAAATAGCATCTGTAAGAACACGCATTCAAGTGATTTGAGGGCAAAAAGCAGAGAGAGTCAGGTGGACCTTCACCAAGATAAACTCAAATTCTTCAGGTTACAGAAAGAAGTGATATGGGCATCATCTTCCACTTGTGATCCCTGTTCCTCCTCTCTCCTTCTCCCCACCGTCATTTCAGGTTGGGTATTAAGAAAAATTTCATCTAAGAGGCAGTGGCATGTCTGCCCAAGGAGGTGGAGGTGTCACCATCCATGGAGATCTGTGGAGATGTGGCACTGAGGGATGTGGTGGTGATGTGTTGACAGCTGGGACTTGATGGGCTGAATGACTTTATGAATGCACAACCAACCCTTCTTCCAACACAAACAGTGGTGACACCTCTATTTACACCACCAGGTGGTATCACACAGAGAAGGAAATGATAGAAGTAGTTTTAGAAGATGGTGTCTCAGAGCTGACCCAGCTCCTCAAGGGTGCAATGAAATGAGCAAAATCCTGAACAGCAAAGCCAAGTGGCAAGGGGAGCTGTCAAACAACAGAACCATTGCACCTGGGAGCGAGGTGGGATGACAAGATGGGCTCTGTGCTCACACTTCAACCATGAGTGAGTCACCCAACAGAGAAGGGCAGAGTTACACGCAGAATACAACTCAGGCATTTTCCTTTATAGATGCATAACATCAAGGCAGACTCACTTTTCCTAAGGAAAAAAAATGCTTCTGCAGGAGAAAGGGAAGTTAAACTAATTCTATCATCTGCAAAATGCACTTCTTATTGGCAGTAAGTCTGCTTTTTCACCCATGTACGGAGCAGCACATAATTAAAGAGTCTAAGAACATTAATAGGGAAAGTTTACCCTCCCTACTTTCTACATTTCTAAGCCTTACCAAAGGAGCATCATGCTGTGAGCTCAGTCAGCCCGTGGGAGTTGGTAAGCCTCGGGACTGACTTCTGATTTCAAGCTCAGCTGGCACAGTGCTGCCTCCAAGCCATAAGCCAGGACCACGTCAGACATCAGTACCTGCTCCTCTGACATCAGGCAGGATGGACAAATGCTCCTGGCACACCAGTGGGCACATCTGACACAGCACACGATCACACCGAGCTGCCCTGCAGGCTGCCCCATGCTCTGCAGCTCTTGGGGCAGGACAAAGCTCTGAGGGACAAAAAGAGAGGAGGAAAGAGCAGCACCATTAACAAACCCCGAAGTTAAGGATGTAAGAGGGTGGAGCAAACCTTGAATCAGTCCAGTCTGGTGCCTCCAGCATCAATCAGATGGCTGTAGATACGAAGGGGGAGCTGAAGGAAGCAGTCAACATCACCTGCCATCACCACCCCAAATTCCCAAGCCTTACACATTTGTGGTGCAGAGGCCTCTTCACCCACAGCTAGGCTTATTATTGTTATTCTCTCCATTGATTTGTTTTCCATGCAGATGCACAGAACTCAGGGGAACTTTTGGGGCCCCCAGAAGCCAGGAGGTTCCCCACCCCTGTGTGCAGCATGAGGAACTCAGCACCACTGCTGCTTGCAGCAATTTCTCCTATCCCTTTTGGGAAGAAGGACACAGCTCCTCCTCCTCCCCTCGCTGCCTGTGCCCTCACCATGGAACCAGCTGCTTCTCTTTAGCAAATCATTGATCCACACCAAGGCCATGATCGCATTACAGCTGCAAGAGCCATAGGTAAGAAACTTCATTAACCACAACTGGAAAATCCCAGCAAGCTGGACAAACAGATCACCTCACTGCACAGCTGCTGAGTCCCGTATAGAGGATAAATAGATTTGCAATGCTCAACTTCATTCAAAAAAGCCACAAACTTTATCACCACATTTACCCATGTATCTACTACTACCACAAGTTAAAACAAGCATGTTGTTCTTCAGCTAATTTCCCTTAGGGATGGCCTCAAGTTGACTAGACTAATTCTTTAGACAACCCCCAGAGCCCTGTTTGAAACCCCACGTACTGCAGGTCTCAAACTTGAGTGATCTGGAATGGAAATGCACAACCACTGCATGGCAGCCCCTTCATCTTGGAAGGAGCCCATTTCACATCTTCAAAGTTGATACCACAGAAAGGAAAATGAGCTGCTTGTGTGAAATCTCCTGTACCTACCCAAGACATGCAATTCTGCAACGCAGTACAGTGTTCTGCCCAAACTTGTTCCAAATGAATCAGGGCTTATGGCTCCTGCTGTCCTCATTAGCCTTACAGACATATCAGTGGGTTTGTTTCTGACATCTTCTAGACTTTTTCCAGTGTAACACAAACAAAAACACAAATTTCTGTGCTGATCAGACATTTGGAAGCATTTAAAAGCCAGACTATGAGCAAGAAAGCTGGCAAGGCACATGCAAGGAAACATGCAAACACCTCTACCTCCCTGGCTCTCCTTATTTCCACCTAGAATTTATGTACAAACCAAGCTGCCTGTTACCACAGCTCCTGCCAATGCACAGCTCCAGTCAGGCATAGGATTAATTACACCAGTAAATTAATGCATTCATTTTCCTTGACTCTCTCTGGAAGAACAGAAAGCATCTGAGCAAGTGATAAGATGCTGTTGGCTGATGCACACAGAATCACAAAATGGCCAGGGTTGGAAGGGACTGCAAGGATCATGAAGCTCCAACCCCCTGCTGCATGCAGGACCACCAACCTCCACATTTCACAGCAGCTCAGGCTGCCCAGGGCCCCATCCAACCTGGCCTTGAACACCTCCAGGGATGGACGGGGCATCCACAGCCTCTCTGGGCAGCTGTTCCAGCACCTCACCACTCTCATAGTACAGAACTTCCCCCTGACATCCAGCCTAAATCTCCCCTCCCTCAACTTAAAGCCATTTCCCTTTGTCCTGCAGTTATCTGCCCTTTCAAAGAGTTGATATCTTATACAAGATCAGGTATCAACAAGAATTGATACCTTTCACACCCTTTCAAAGAGTTGATACCTTACACACAAGTGCACACCTTACTCCAAAAGCAGTAAAACATCTCCAGCTTTCCAAAACCACTCATGACACAGTACCTATAACACACAGTACCCATAACAGCCTCACAGGTTTGTCATTTACTATGGGATAACAAGTAGAAGGCTTCAGGGTCTCATGCTGGCACATCCAAAGCATGCACAGCCTTATGCTTGCTCTGCAGCACACGTGCCACCATTGTTCCTACAGCCTACAAGAATCCAGTGGCTCAAACCCAAGACAACACTTTGTATTGCAGTCTAAGAAGCCAACATTTCTCAAAATGATTCAGCTATGGCACAAGAAGCAGAAGATAAGCTAAATTACCCTCAAAGAATGCTCAGAATAGTTGAATGCCCATGCAGCGAGGGTGGAGATGTTAGATAGAGCACACCAAGTTACCCATACACTGGGACAGCCTCAAATCAGCTACTAACACCAGTGAAATCTCCTGGAGCCACACTGGACCACACTACATCACAAGCTCAGATGTGCCAAAGAAACAAAGACAGTATCAGGAACCCTATGGGAAGAAGAGAACAACCAGAGATCTTCCTATGCCGTGACACACAGGAGTTCTTTTACTGTCATTTTGGAATCATAACCACACTCACATATTCCCACCTTCCCAGCGGGTTTCATTTCACAAAGTTCAGGAAACTAAACACTTTTTCTTTTACAAAACAGGGACAGAAGTTATAAAAGCTCATTTTTAGATTGTCTTCAGGGAGGAATACACCCAGAAATCCAAATTGCTCACTGTGGGGCAGCCTGGCACCCAGCTGTGTGCTCAACCAGCTCTGCTGTGTGGACTGATGGGACCCTGTGAGAGTGGGAGCAGGCATCTTCTGCCTACAAACTATCCCCTATGGTTCCTTTTTCCAGAGTTAATTAAGAAAGCCATCCTTCTATCCTCAGTTTTGTTACGTACTCAGCTCAGGAGAGCTCACTTCAGAAATGCTCTTTAGGCCTTTGTCTGCCACAGCCTTATGTTTCAGCAAAAGGTGTTTTTCAGACTACACTTGGATTTGTATCTGCACATCCCTAGTTTGGTTTCCTCCTACATTTCGAACACCCTGGCACAAGTTTCAGTAGCTCCCCTGCTATCTGTCTACAAGTAGCACAGCTCTGTCAGTTCCTTCAGTTCCGTTCTGGAGGAAGTGAGAACTTTCTATAGACAAGCTCACTGTCCTGCAATGGAAGCAGTTTGGTAAAAGAGAGAGAAAGGATTTTCAGGGCCAGAATCACTTATTGGTAACACAGCCCTACGTAGGACAGCCAGACCACACAGCTCCATATGCAGAGAGCTTCTTGCTGGGCTTCCCCTCATCCTAACCCCACCACACTCACCTCACCCGAGTAACTGTACTTTCCCTTCAGGATCTGCCTGTACAATCGGGTGCGGTTGTCATCCTCAAAGGGCATCGTGCCACTCAGGAGGATGTAGGAGATGACACCCAGAGCCCACATGTCCACAGAGTTGGTGTAGGGCTTCCTGACCAGGATCTCAGGAGCGATGTACTCCGGCGTCCCGCAGGTGGTTTTCATCAGGCAATCATCTCCTTTCTTTCGAGCACTGGCCAATCCAAAGTCTGTAATCATGATTTTGGAATCCGTTCCAGGATGGTAGTAAAGCAGGTTCTCTGGTTTTAAGTCCCTGTGTGTGATACCCAACGTGTGCAGGTACCTCACACCGTCAAGTACCATCTGCAGCACGCGCGTGGCGTCCCTCTCCGTGAAGGAACCTTTGGCAATGATTCTGTCAAACAGTTCTCCCCCAGTTGCCAGCTCCATCACCATGTACACCCGATCCTGGGTCTCAAACACCTCTATGAGCTGGATGATATTGGTGTGACGAACCCTCCGCAGCACGCTCAGCTCCGACTCGCACACCTCCCTCCCCTCCCTGTATTTGGTCTCTATCATCTTGATGGCGTAAGGCTGCTTGGTGGCTTTGTGCTCCACCCTCACAACTCGGCTAAAGCTTCCCCTTCCGATCAGGGCTTTGATGTCATACTTGGCTGTCACTCGGGGGTCAAATTTGGCACGGTATTTGGCCACTTTGTTCTTGCGGGGCTCGGGCTGGGCTGGGTGGGCAGGCAGGGGGTTACCAGGAAACGGGTTTGTGTGACGTGGGGGTGAGGGAGAGCCAGCTTTGATGACAGTCCCACCATCATCTTTGATGAAATGCTTGTAGATGTCACTGTGGCCCGTGTAAGGTTCTACTTTTTTAACCAGATCCAGCTGCACATCTTTGGGGGGCTCGGGAAGCACTTTGCTTGTCCCACAGCCCATCACTGACGGGTGTTAATTCCCTATCAAGGCATCTTCCCAGGGCAGCAGCAACCACATCTGCAGCAGCTCCCACGTTTGAACCTTCCAAAAAGAACAAGGAGAAACAGATAAATGGCAGTCAAAGCCAGGAAAAGCATGCAGGTGGTTCATGTCTCAATGCACTGCTACCACAAACTGAGCTGAGGATGTTTCACTGTAGCACCCCTTTTTATTAAGCATAATTTGCCCAACCTTCCTAGCTGAACACTGAAGCATAGAATGGCTGAGGCTAGAAGGGATCTCTGCAGCTCATCCTGTCCAGCTCCAGCAACTTAATAAAGATCAAGGAAAGCATTAAGCATCCTCCTTAGTTTTGTTTCACCTGCTAAACTTTGCAAGGCACTCGCCATCCTGAAGCTTATTTCCTCATTAGAAACTCCACAAACTACCTCAGCAACTTGTTCACTTAACAAATCTTAATGTTTTCTTTACATTTAGCTTGTACTCGTGCTTTAAACCTCTAATTACTTTGCTCTCAGGGATCAGTGAAGCTGTACAGAAGCTAGGAATATGCAGACAGAGGCAGGCTATTTTTTACAATGTGTGTTATTAATTTAATCACTGCATGCCCTGCAGAATGCCAGGCCTTATTTAACAAGGGCAACGTTTAGCTGACAATTCCCTTGTCCTCCAAGCCCTAAGAAACCAAGGTGGGCTTTGATGTTTTCCACTGCCTAACTCAGTTTTGCCTTCTTTTGTGTTTTCAGATATCAAGCAGAGCTTCTGTTTTATGTTTTCCCATATGGAGCTGCATTTTGCTGCAGTAAGGAGAATTTCAGCCAGTTGTTCCCCATTGGAGCAAACAGAGTTCTTGCTCACCACGCTCTACTCCAGCAGAGCCAAATCAGCTGTGCTTCAGCAAGTCTTTACTTTAGGTCCTGATTAAAACAATCTGGAGGTAAAGAAACTGCCTGCATGCATTCTGGCAATTAGCTGAGCAGTTTTAAGTTTCTCCTTTGGCTCAGAGCCCATCATTACAGTGCCCCAGCATTTGTAGAAGACTACAGAAAAGCTGTTAGCTTTGAGATGTAATCATCCACCTTACCATCACCGAGAGTATCTTCACTCATTCACCACTTCTCCAAGCAACTATTCAGCACTGCAGGAACCCCAGCTGGTCTTCCATCAGAATTACTTGGAAAAAAAAAGGTGTTCTAGAGGGACAACAGGAGGAAGAAGTTTACGCTCTGCATTCACTCTGGAAAGAAAGCAAGGCTTTAGTTAAGATCCCACATTAAAATCAGACAACAGTGTATCATCTTCTCACATAAGACCTCCTGGTAGGACCACAAGGCCAGACACCAACCATGCACCAAGAGGTCTGCAGCAGAAATAAAAAGCAACGTCACAGATGGCTTAATTGAGATTTGAATTCATGGAGGGCTGCCCTACAGCTGGCTGCTTATTCAGGTTACAGCACTGTGACAAGGAATACATGAAATAGTACAGCTATTTCTGAATCATGACTCACACAAGCAGCTTTTCCCCCCAGCATCACTGCACTTTAAAATATATGAAGTTAGCAGAGAAATAGAATGAGAGCATCTGCAAACAAGACTGTCACAGAGCAACTCCACACCTCGAGAAGCACTTGTGTAAGGAATCCCAGCAGCAAACAAAAGCAATGAGAAGACCCCAATATGGAGCTTGGAGTGGTTGTGTATGAATCCTGCTGCTCATAGCAGAGATCAGGCATCAACATGATAATGGCTCTGCCCTGTGGGCACAGGCAGCACGAGGGGTAGAGGGAGATACATGAAATCACTGAGAAGGTGGGAGGTGAATGTGTTACAGAAACGAGCCCCCTTTCTGAATAGGAAGCCACACACTCAGAAGGCCCTAAACTGCCCAACAGGTGTCAGCATGCCTTTGTTACAACTGTGACAGGTGAGAGAAAGAGCTGGCTGAATGCTTTGGTACCACAGAGATCCCTTCCTCAGACAAGTGGCAGGGCAGGGCCACAGCTCCTGCTGGCAGACAGGCATCCTCCAGCCCCCTGGGCAAAGCCAGAGCCTTATGGCACAGTAAGGCACCTGGGAACAACCCTATGGGTGGAGTGGCAGCTGCCTGACACCTGAGGCCTGACTGCCTCACCACCACCAGATAGAGCAGCATCGTGGGACTGCAGAACAGCTTGAGCTGGAAGGGGACTTAAAGCCGAGTGCCCTGGGCAGGGGCAATGCACCCACAGCCCCATCCAGCCCCGAGCACCTCCAGGAACAAGGCAGGCACTCCCAGCTGCTCTGAGCAGCTGCGCCAGGGCCTCGTCGCGTTCACAGGGAAAGATTTCCTCCTTACCTCTAATCAAAATCGCCCCTCTTTCAGTTTAAAGCCGTTACCCCTCGCCCCGTCACTGCACTCCCTGATAAAGAGCCTTTCTCCGACCTACTCGTAGGCCCCTACGGGCACCACAAAGCCGCTCAAGGCTCTGCAGCCGCACTTCTCCGCTGAGGCCCGCCAAGGAAGGCACAGCGCCGCGGGGCGAGCAGCTCCGGCCCACAGCCGCGCCACGACCGCCCTCTGAGCGCACCCAGGGGCCCGCAGGCGGCCGCACAGCGCGGGGCTGCGCGGTCCCGTCAGCTCCGACGCTCTGCCCGGGGCCTCCGCCCGCCCCTGAAGGCTCTGCAGGCTCCGAGGCCCGGAGGAGCAGAAGGGACCCGACGGGACAACGAAGGGTCCGCACCGCGGCCGAGCCCCGCACTCACCTCAACCCGCTCCGACCCGCGGCCCGGCCCCGCCTCCTGACGTCATCACCATGCGCCGGAAGCAAAGTTGATTGGTGGAGAGCCGGCGGTGGGCGGGGCAACGCGTGCACTGTGCCACGGCCCCGCGCTCTAGCGCCCCCTATCGGCGGCCTCCGGAGCGGTGGGCGCACGGGTCTCAGCGCCGGGACTCGGAGAGCTTCCATCCGAACGTCGCTTTCTCGGATCATTTGTGCCGTGGAGACTCACCAGAGCCAAGAGGACGTCTGGGCAACTGTGTCATTGTTCCCAACACTCAACCTGAACCTCAGTGTGATGCCATCAGCGTGATGCCATCGCTCCCCCTATCGCTGTTACCCAGGAGCGGAGGCTGAACCCGTCCCCACATCCTCCTGCCGGGGCTGCAGCTCCACCAGCTCCTCTTCTCCGCACTGCCCCACCCCATGCCCTCAGCCGCTCCCATAGGACTGCACTCAGACCCCTCACCCCTCCGCTCCATTCCCTGGACACGCTCCAGAGCCTCATTCCGCTCCTGAGGCTGTGGAGGGACAAGGAGGAGGGTGCAGGGGCTCAGGCTCAAAGGACACAAACCGAGGGACAGGTTATCCCCGGATCCATTTGGCAACAAGCTCAAGGTTGTCCCAGCAAGGCCGAGCAGAGGTCGGAGCAGGAGGATGTTCAATTAAATCTGCTTAGGAAAAGAAATCCAAAAAAAAAAAGCCCCAAAGCTGAGCGCAGAGGGGCTGCCAGGCTGGGGGCTGAGCACAGAGGTGACTCCAGCTCAGCTGTTCAGCTGCAGTCAATCCATGGGGATTGAGGTTGCTGTTCTGTGCCCCGATGGAAAGTTTGACCTTTGGCTGAAGGGCAGCCCTACGGCACCATGTCCTCCAGCCTCCCTCAGCCCCAGGACCAGTTGGAGTGTGGAGGAGAGCAGCTAGAAAGCATCAACGCAAAGGAGAAGGTGACACAGCATCCCCTTGTAACTCTGCCAGTAGGGATTTCCTTTGGCAAAGGAAAGGAGGAGCAGACCGTGGCGTGGTGGAGGCAGCGGGCAGCATGGCCGGCATGTTGGCCCTCAAGTTGCCATCCCACGTGCACTGTCACCGTCACACAGCTGCCCAGAACACTGTCACCATCTGATTCTGGCTGCCCAGGAATGCAGGAGCCTCTCCATCCCATTCTGCGACTGCAAAAAAAGTGAATGTGTGTTCTGCTTTCCCTTATCCCCTTCTTTTAGAAGTAATAATAATAATAATAATAATAGTTCAGGTTCGTCTCTCAGAAAAGGGAGAGGAAGATAATGTCTGCCGAGCATTTAATCTTCTGCCCAAAGAATAGCAGAGAGCAAATTAGGATCGACTCCAATTAATTTGCCTTGATGGGCAAAATCTGGAGAGCGGCCATATCTGGGAATTAGGAACAAAAGCAGGGAGTGCAAAGTAGGTCAATGGAGTTTCATAACCGGAGCGATGGGTTTTCACGACGCGCGGAGGCGCCCGGAGAGCACGGATGGCAGTGCTGTAGGAACCCACCTGCTAGGCTGTGTTTGGGGTTTAAAGGCAAAAGGGAAGGGTGGGATGGAGAGGATGGGGACGTGGCGCTGGGGATGAGCCAGCCATGCTGTGTGTTCTCTATTTTAGGGGGAAAATTTGTCTTGCGCCCAAGCAGAGCTCTCCCAAGCAGCTTGGGACAAAGCCTAACTGTGTGGTCTCAGCTTCATGCAGTCACTTGAAGGACAACAAGTGAGTGGCTGTGAAGCGCAGGGGGCAGGAATGAGGATGGTGAGGCACTGAACAGGTTGCCCAAGGAGGCTGTGGATGCCCCATCCCTGCAGGCATTCAAGGCCAGGCTGGATGTGGCTCTGGGCAGCCTGGGCTGCTGGTTGGTGACCTGCACACAGCAGGGGTTGGGACTGATGATCACTGTGGTCCTTTTCAACCCAGGCCATCCTATGAGTCAATGATTCTATGGGTCCCTATGCGCCCCGTGAGTCCCTATGGATCCTTATGGCACCCCATGGGTTCTCAGGGCAGCCTGGTCTGCTGGTTGGCGACCCTGCACATAGCAGGGGGGTGGAACTGGATGATCATCATGGTCCTTTTCAACCCAGGCCATTCTATGATTCTATGTGCCCCTCCTGCAGGATGCAGCTGCAGGACTGCCGTCTGCCTTCACCAGGAAGCCCTGAACCCCTCCTGAATGCAGGCTTGTGCCACAGCCCTCCTCCAAGGCCAGAGAAAGGCAAAAGCCAGCAGGCAGATGGAGATCTGTCTGTTCCCAGCCCCAGGGCAGGACGAAGCCCTCTGTGGCCAGCAAAACCCCATTCCTAAAGCCACCCCACAGCCCTGCTGTGCCACACATCCACCTGTGAGCTGGTCGAGGATACGTGTGCAACCCCACCAACTGACAGTGGTTGAGCACCACAGCACGAGAAGGACGTAAAGCTATTAGAAGGTGTCCAAAGGAGGGAACAAGCAACACCTCAGTGTTCCTCCAACCCCCAGCCACCTCCAGCTGCCCCCCAGAGGTGGCAGCTGCCCGCCCAACGCTGATCCTCTTAGCCATCCCGGCACTAATTCAGCCTTAAACACAGGATTGTCAGAAATTGGAAATGGAAGAATAGGCAGATTATCCCCTGGCAGCAGCGTTAAACACGGAGAGCGGCAGCTGCCGTGCAAGGAGCGTTGGGGCAGCACTCTGCCCTGGGCTGTGTCCTTCCTGTACAATGCCTCGTTTTAATGAATTAATAGCAGGTTGTGCCAGGCTTGTGTGAACCAGCAGTGCTGGGAACACCACCTCTGTTCTCAAAGAGCTTTAAGCACAGCAGATGCTCGACTGACAGCTGCCAGCACTGACCGAGGCCGTGTCCATCACTGCTGTGATAAAGCTCTGCCAAAGCAGAGGGCCCTGCAGGAAGAGCTTTTCAGCTCCTGCAGGAAATAGACAAATGGTTTTCCCTGGTTTGATATGCACAGTGATAGCTGAATGCCTCGCTATGAGGGGGAGACATTCAGATAAAGTTATTTCGGCTCTATCAGATCATCAGAACAAAAGACAGAAAACCCACACCCAACCATCCTCTCCTCCCTGCGTACCCCGATTTCCTTCGTGACCATTAACAGGACCAAACACAGCAGGGCTGGAATCAGAGAGACAGAAAATGGAAATCTCTGCAGAGAATTGCACGGTGCTGCGGATGGCCCGTCCCTGGAGGTGTTCAAGGCCAGGTTGGATGGGGCCCTGGGCAGCCTGGTCTAGCATTAGGAGGGATGGTTGGTGGCCCTGCATGTGGCAGGGGGGTTGGAGATTCATGATCCTTGAGGTCCCTTCCAACCCTGGCAATTCTGTGATTCTGTGATGGCAATGGGGCACCATGGTGAACCAAAGCTGGGCTGGGCATTTGGGCTCCCCCAAGTGAGATGGCAGATTGATTGCATTGTTCTGGCCCTGCTGGGAAGGTGAAATCCCTGCAAAGCTCTCATTGTGTGGCACACCTTCAGGGTTGTCTGGTGTGTGCCACACAATGAGGATATTGAGGTTCCCTGGGTGCCAGGAGGGGACAACACAAGGCCACCCCGAGCCACATGGGGTTGGGAAGGGTGTGAGGACACCGTACAGCAGAGAGACTGGAGAAATGTAAAAGCATCTTTTAATATAAATATAAATCCATCTGAAGGGTTGCAGGAGTGGGTGAGGGCTGCGGGGCCGGGCTGGGGTTCAATCTGAGGTCAGTGGGGACCCCAGGCTGAACCCCTACTGTAGTGCACGGCGGGTCCTTGGCTGAGGGCGGCGCTATGCCCAAGCCCCCAGCAGCAGCAGCAGGGCCAGCAGGGGGAGGATGCTGGGGTGACTGTAGGGGGCTGAGCCCCGCAGCGTGGCCTGGTTGGTCTCAGCAGGCGGTGAGCCTTGGGCGCTGGCCAGGCGGCCCCGAGCACTGCACAGCTCCTGCAGGTTTCCCTGGAACTGGATCTTGCGGGATTCCTGGCGTAGAGACTCCCAGATAGCGGCAGCTTCTTCGGGGCAGCGGGACAGAACCCCGCTGGCACAGGCATGGAACTCATCCCAGGACCTGGAAATAGGGATGGGTATCAAGGTGGTAGCAGCACCCAGGATCGGGGGACGGGGATGGGGTGGCTCACCTGCAGATGGTGTCCAACTCTTGCGCCTCCTGGCCGCCATCCTCCTCCTCCTCGTCCCGCTGCTGCCGCACGCTCTGGGCCATGCTGTCCCCTAGGCTGATGAGGCAGCCAGCAAAACCTTTGTAGATGGTGTTGCACTTCCCTGCTGTGCTGATGGGCTCCTGAGCGACGGCTGCGGGTTGGGGGGGGGAGGGATGGAGGGATGGAGCTGAGCCCCCACCACCAGGTTGCACCCGCTGGGCTCACGGTGTGGCACAAACCACCAGAGCCAGCAGTGTGTCTGTGGGTCCAGCATGCAAGCAGCAAAGCAATGGAAACGTTGGGTTTGTAAGGGAGGGGATGTGGGTCAGCGGGCATACAGAGGATGGGTTGGGTGATATTAGAAGTCTCTTCCAACCTGCTTGACTCTGAGGTTCTACAGAACAAAGAGCAGCCCTTGGTGGGGACCCCACGCAGAGGGGCTCACATCCATGCATGGAGTGGGACTGAGTTCCTTCACAGCCCCGGGAATTACAGTGTCTGCTGCATGGACTCTCGCTCCCAGCCTGCTAGGATTGCTCCAGAGCCATCTGTGCATCCCTCTTATCCCCAAACAGCACAGATTAATTTGTGACTACGGCACGGCAAACAAAAGCAAAGGCTTTGAGTGGTTGAGCGAGGTGGGGGGATGCTCTAAGAGAGAGAGAAGAGCAGGAGGAGAGAAAGGGGGAGGAAAGGGAAAGGGGAGAGAGGCACAAGTGTAGCTCCGGCTTTGAGTGGCTGAGGGAGAGATGCTCTAAGTGAGATAGGAGAAAGAAGAGGAGAAAGAAGGAGAGAAAGGAGCAAAAAGAAAGGAGGAAAAGATGGGGAAGAGGCAAAAGTGCGGCTCCGGCTTTGAGGGAGATGGGTGGGTGCTGGGAGAGATAGAAGAGGAGAAAGGAGCAGAAAAAGGAGCAAGAAGAGACGGGGAAGAGAGGAAGAAGAGATGGAGAAGAGGCACAAGTGCGACTCCTGCTGCCCCACCTTAGGGATCCCCCGTTCCCACACCTCCACATCCATCCCCGCAGCGGGGTTAGGCTCAGGAAAGAGAAACGAGAGGACAAGATCCAAAGCAGCAACCCGGCTCCGGCATCCCACCCTTCCCTCGGCACTCACCGATGTGCAGCAGCAGCAGCAGCAGCAGCAGCGGGCACACGATGCCCAGCAGCCGCCCGCAGCCGCAGCCCATGGTGCGGAGCGTCCCGCACCGCCGCCGCTCCGTGTGCGCAGCGCTCCGCTCCCCGCGCAGTCCCGATCCCGGCGCACCGCCCCCAGCCCCGCCTCCCCCTGAGATGCTGAGGGAGGGGGGGACGGAGTTCCTCCCGATAAAAGCATTTCGTTTTCAGACAGTCGGATCGTTAAGGTTTTGGGTTGGTTTGTTTTTTTGTTTTTTTTCTCCAAAAAAAGTTATTTATTGAATTGTTCTGAACGTTACGTCCGAAAAAAAAAAAAAAAATTCGAAATTTAGATAAAAAGAAACTTCCCCCTCCCAACCCTCCCCACCCCACCCTGTGCACCCTGGGTGTAAAATTCGAAGTAACAGCTGAACCAGGAACGTGCTCCCACCCCTACCAGAACAGCCCCCACTGGAGCACCCACAGCCCCAACAGGTGATGCTGGGGGTCAAAAACTGCCCCCAGCCCCCTTATCTCGCTGACACCCTCTCCCCCTCCCCCCAACACCACACCTGGGGTGGCTCTGAGCCCCTGACTCAACACAGGGACCCGTTCTTTGTGAACAACCCTCGCCCACCTCCTCCCTCCTCTGCTGACGGCAGCGGGCTCCAAGCAAAAGGATGAGAAACCCTCTGGCATCAGCTGGAGGGGGTGGAAAAGAGACTTCCATCTCTCCAAAGAGGCTATTGAGGACTATAAAGCCAAGTGAGCGTTCAGTGACTATTTGGAACTACACGCAGATGGCGTTTGCCTTAGAGATATTACACACGAGTTGATAGATTTCCTGGCAAGAGCTCTTTAACACAAGCCATAGGTGGTTAGAAACTACAGGAGCCAGGGGAGGGGGCTCCCCAGAGCACCTAGCAGCCCCCCCCCCCCTTAGGTCATGCCAGGAGTGACCAGGCCCTGCAGCATGATCATCAGGCGGCGTGCAGGCTTGCTCAGTGTGTTGTGGGGTTCCACCTGGAGGAACTGGAAGAGCTTCTGCCGCACCTGGCTCATGACTGACCCCATATGGTCCCTAGTGATGGGGTCACTGTGGTCCAGGTGCATCACGGCCTCCTCCAGGTAACTGTAAGGGAGAAAGATGGGTTAGAAACAAACAAAGCGCCTGAACCCACGCCAATTCCATCCATCTCAGCACCACAGAGGCACAGCTCTGCTCTTGTATGGAGCAGTGCCTCCAGTCCAGCCATCAGAAAATACTCAACGGGAGCAGAGTGCAGCTCTGTTGTGCTGCAGCCCCATTGCACAGACTGCAGGACATGCAACAAAGCTGGCTACAAGTCGGGCCTCACTGCAGTGCTGCAGGCAGCACGTGGCCATAACTGGTCAGAGCTCTGTGTATATTTTCTTTGATGGCATTTTAGCAGAAGGCACTTGACATACAGTAAAATTCACAGCACTGAGGCTTATTCAGAGGGATATATTTAAGGTCTTCTCTTTCTACCCAGGGAGGTATGGGAGAAGAGCCTACACTTCAGTTTCCTCTTGACTGCAGCCACTGTAACCACTCACCAGCTCTCCTTTCTTTCTAGCGTGAACTACCTTTATCTTTCTAACTCAATGCTGAGATGTTTTCCAAACATGCCATTATCAAACCCTGCAGGTACCATAAAAAGTTTGTTTCCCAGGGCAGCTAACAGGGTTCTGACTCTCAGTTTTGAAATGCTCGTGGCATGTGTCAGCACAGGCACGTGTGTTTTGCTCAGAACACCCAACAGACAGTGCCTCCTGTGGCTCCTGCTGACAGCTCCCACTGAACATCTCTGGCAGTCATGCCTGGAAACAGATAACACTGAATACAGTGATGGGTTCGTTCAGAATTGCAGGCAAAGCTTCCAGAGCACTGAGCTACCCATGGAGCACAGCACTACCCCTCCTGTTACCTCCACGTGGCAACACTTCCTTGGTTAAACGCATCACTATACAGATTTCACTTACTACTAACAGCCCCAAGAAGCTGCAGCCTCCCTAGAAGGAAGGTTCTGCTTACACAGAGCGAGTTTAGAGCCAGGCATACACCTGCAGGGACTCAAATCCATGTGTCCAACCACACTCACTTCAGCTTCAGTTCCGTACGAGTACCCAAATCCGAGGAGAGCTGCTGAATGAGTGAGAGCAGCACAGGCTGGGACAGCGGGCACGGCTGCTGGCCAAACACTTGCTGTGTGTCCACAGTCTCACAAACATACAGGACCAGGTTGAGATCAGCTGCTGTTAGAGCCTGCAAGGAAGATACAGCTATAAATACAAAAGGAAACACCGGGCAGGTGAAGGACATGGGACAGAACATGGGACAGCTCGATGGCTCGCCAGCCTCTTCTGCTAGCAGAAGGCTCAGCAAATCCCATTGGTGCACACGGGACTGTGTGTAGGCTCTGTCTACACTAAGAGGACACCTGTGTCCATTCTAAGCTGAGCAGACAGGTAGCAGCTCACAGCCAGGCACAGGGGACCAGGTTCATCAGCAGCATGGGACCAGGTTCATCAGCAGCATGGGACCAGGTTCATCAGCAGCATGGGACCAGGTTCATCAGCAGCATGAAGCGGGGCCATGCTTGTAGCTCAATGGCACAACACTGTTTCTATTCCCAGTGGAGTTGTCTGCAGCAGCTCAAATGAATTTGTCTGCATATTCAAAGGCAAAGCCAAGGTCAGGTCCCAGCTGGCAGATCTGCCCGGAGAGGCTTACAAAGCTGTTGCACTTCAGGGGTGCACCATGTGCTGCTGCTGATGGCAAAGTCACTGGCTTACTGCAGCACTGATGCTGTCCTGACAGGATAAGGAAGAAGGAACTTCAGTGCCAGTCATGCAACATGCATGGCTCTGGCCTGACTTGTGCGAGTGCAAATGAACCCCCTGAGCTGTTTGAAAAGATCTGTAGCAGCAACCAGCTCCTCTGAGCTGTGGATTTATGCCCATCACCTTAAGCAGCCACTTCCCCCTCATTCTGTCCCCTGAAAAGCAATGCTGCCCAGTACAAGGAAGGCCACATACCTGCTGGAAAGCTTGGTTGAGATGGCCCTGCTGGAGCAGCTGAAGGATGTGAGTTTGCTGAGACTGGAAGTCCAGGTGAGTGGAGGGGATGGGAGTCCCTGCAGCCGAACGCATTGCCTGAACAATGCTCGAGGTGACAGCTGCCTGCTGCTCCTTCATTGCCAGGCTCACTTCTCCTTTAATGACTCTCTGCACCTGGGTCAAAATAGACTCCTGCAGGCTAAAAAAAAAAAAAACACAAACAAAAGAAACCAAAAGGTATCTCTGAAAAGAAAGTGCTGAGGGAATATGTTGTACAATGCTTGCAGCAGGGAGGAAGCACAGGCTTGCTTATTTTAGCATGGGTTCCAAAGCGTCAACATAAGTTGTTCTGAGGCACAGGTATTGGAAACAGGCAGCCAACTGAAGCTCTGTGGCAGCAATGCAATATCCCAGGGTGCATGCTGAAACATTAGAGTTCTGTGTGGGAAAGTGATGTTCCAGGAAATAAATCCTCACTACATAGCATTTTAATTCTTTAATATACCTGGCAAGGTGATGATGCTGTAGGTTCATCTCTGAAATGCCAACTTCCTACAATAATCTCTTGCAAGCAGTGTTAACCCAGGGGTGGGATCCTCTCCTCTACAATGGGCACAGAGCATCACAGCTGCTCTCCTATGGTACAACAGCAGGGCTTCCCTGGGAGCCAGCAGTGCCCATGCAATGGGATTGGCTGATGCCCTCCTTGCCAAGTCTGCTCCATGCTGAAGACCCCAATACACTGATATATGCTCTAATGGCTTAAAATAGACATTTAAGGGACTCTGTCCTGCAGGTGATACTAGCCAGTCTTCGCAGCTGGCAACCCACCATCAGCTTCATGGTGTGCACAAGCTGGAGGCACTGCCAGAATCACATCTTTAATCTGGGATGGCCAAACAGGAATTGCTGTACAACAGCTGAAAGGACAAAAGGAGCCTGCAAAACTGCTGGCATGCCTGAGGACATAAAGAGGAAAAGCCTTGAAGAGAGCCAAAGATCGTTTTAGAACAGAGAGGAGGGAGTGACCCCAGAGCACTTAGGTTCACAAACATGCACATGGCATACTGTGACAAGCATGTCCCAAGCTCCCCCACACAGCAGAGATACAGCTGGTTGTTCAAAGTGTTCTGTGGTCTTTGTTCTGTGCCTTACAGGGCAACAGTTACACCAGCCCACATGCTTTGTCATGCCACACAGAGTTAACAGGCAGCTCTCTGGTAGGGATGGCAAAGGGCTCATTTCCACAACAAAGTAGGGAGAAATTTCTTTTTAAACATCTGTGCTTCTCACTGACATCTCTTTTAGCAAGCCCAGCTGCCAACTTACTTGCCCACAATAATGTGCAGCTGGTGCTGCACCTCAGCATGGATATTGGCTGCGATGGTGGAAGCCAGCTGCTCGGTGGTGCTCTGGAAGGTGCTGATGAGCTGTCGAAGCTGATTCAGCAGTGGGTCCCGGGCCTCCTGTTCTCGTGCCTTCTTGTTCTTCATGTGAGTCTCGAGCTGCTGAACGTCTGCAACAGCCAAAGAGGAAGACATTTCAGCTGTGAGCACGGCTGTCAGAGTAGAAACCCACCACCAGACTCTACACATCCTGCAGCAGAAGCCAGTGTACAAGTACAGAAGAGGGGAGAATGTATAAGCTTGCTGTGGGCTGTGTTAAGCTAACACAGAAATCCTGCTTCTGGCCTCCCCACCACAAAGAATTACATGAGACACAGTAAAGGAAGTAGGATGTGGTTATACCACAGTAGAAAAGCCCAGCTGCACTGGTAGTAAAGCCAACAAGTCACTGATTCACTGAATGACATCAAGCATTTTGCAGTGTGGGTTACAGATCCTGGAGCTGCTGCTGCAAGACAGAGATTCGCCTACAAAATCCCCTCACATCCATTTCTCAAGTGGGAAAGAGAGCAGCACGCTTTCAGCCTATACCAGTGGGCTAAGAGCTCAACAATTACAGTGAAACTCTGAGAGGAAATGACATTAGCCACGGGGCAACTTGTCAGCCACTAACACAAAAGTGCTATGGAAAGAAAACTCAGAGATGACTCACATTCCTGCGTGCCCTGCTTGAAGGTGTCATTGATTTGCTGGAACATGGACTGGCAGCTCTTCTCAAAGGCTGGCAACACGACACTCTGGAAGGCTTCCCTGTAGGCCGACTGGATTGGGCCCTGCAGGGTGTCAGCTGTTGCTCTCACAACACTGTCTGTAAGGTTCTTACAAGAACACACAGAAGAGACTCCAGAAAATTAACAACAGCCTGCTGCAGGATAGAAATATGAACAAACACTCTACATCCCAACAACACACCCACACCAAGTAAGGACAGCCCTGTCAGTCAGGAGCGTGCATTCCCTAAGCAGCTGAACTCCTTCCTCTAAGCTGCACCATGAGGACAGCAGGCAGAGCACCTGATTACTGAGGGGCTGCCCAAGAAAGATCACAATTTTCATGCAGTTCAGCTTGAGAGCAAGGGAAGGCGGTGCAGCCAGGCACGATTCCTTTCCTCCTCCCCAGCTTCCCTCCCACAACCCATCACTGCCTGTTCATGCAAGCAACAAGCTTCTGCTCCTAAAAACATTCACTACTTGGCTGAGTAAGATGACCCTAAAAACCACTGCTCTAGTGAGAGCCTCTAATACAGA